TGTAGGCTACTCTAGCATATATTCAAGCTGTTCTATGTTGTCTCATTGTATTTATTATTACCATTTTAATGGCCACCTGGTGTTCTATAGAGTTAATGTACTATTATTTACTTAATCTTTGCTTTACTTTCTGTTCCCTATAACAAAAAGCTCTGCAAAAGTAAAGTGAGATCTTTGTTGTGTAGTTTTCCTCTCCATGGGGAATTATTTCCTTAGAAAAGATATCAAGAATTGGAATTGAGGGGAGGAAAGGTAAGTGCATTTTTAAACTCCTGATATATATTATCAGATGACTTTCATCCATCAATTTAATTTGTGAGAGTTTTGGTACCCCAGCAGCTTTGATTTTACTGGGCTTAAATATTTTACTATTGATTATTTAAGAGAGGGGGGGGGGGAAAAAAGCATGTTAAACACTTCTGCCCCCAATTCTCTGTGATCATGTATTAGTTAGCTTTAACGTGTTAATTTTGTCTCCCCAAAGAAATTGTAAGGTCCTTGCATGAAAGTAGAGACAGTGACTTTTATTTATTCTTTATGCCTCACAATATATTTTAAAAAGTGTAGCAGGCATAATTTTCTTCAGTATTTGCTCTTAACTGATTGAAGCCTTTATAAAATTCTATTCTGTCCTCAAATTCAAGTTCAGTAATGATAGATGCTTTTGGCCAGCAGTAGATTTTTGCAGTCCTATCTCCAAAAATAAACTTTTACCCTAACCTTACCTACAGAAATTATACTTATCCTTGGAATCAGTGTTATTTGAAATTTTCAGTAAGCATGTATTTTGAATTCTTCTAGAACTTCAGACTTATTTTATTCCAGCTTTTGTCCAATTAATTCATAAGGCACAAGCTGTTTAAACACCACCATTTTCAGGGTTTTCCCATAGAAAGCCCAAACAAAGAACATGGTCTTGGTTCTCCCCACACTGATGTCCTGGGATTCTAGAATGTCCCTTAACTCCAAATGAAAGTCAACTGTGATAAATGTACCCTACTGATAAAAGTTTACACCTATGCTTGTTCCCTGCTTTATCCTAGATCTAGAACAGTGTGGGAGATCTGAGAGACGGTCAATAAATACTTGTTGAATGGTTGAATGAATGCATCTGTGTGCTCAGGTTGAACTAATCAATCACTCTACAAATATTTATTGAGCTCCTCTGAGGTGCAAAGCCAAGTGTACTTATAACTACGAAAATAATAGATAAAGTTGACAGATCCTATACATGGCAGGGGGCTGTCTCTAATGACCTTGAGGTCTCATCCAGTGCAGTTTTCTTCAATTCATGTGCATTCCTTTTGACACTTACATGTCACATCCACAAGCCAAATAAAACTCCTCAAACTGCATCTCTATGATGCATGATGATCCCCCATCCATTTCTCCAAAGGCCCTGAAAAGGAGTTGTGTGCTATGGATTCTTAGTGCTGGTCACTCCTGGGCTGGGACGAGAAGGGCTCCAGATGGAGGCTTTTGTGGAGGGTTCCCTTTTATCCTTGGTTGTAAGCAGCCTGAGCAGTTATGTTATAAATGAGTCATTTACAGCCTTCTCCCCAAGTCCTTTCATGGACTTTGTTACCCAAGGTTACCAGCGTGCCTGGTGCCTTTGATTTTTGTGGGCACCGTAGACCAGAGAAAAGAGTTGTGGCCTTGGGCATCTGCATGTTGGCTTTCACACATCCTGCAAATGGGTACCTGCCAGCCCTCTTCCCCAGATGTCCTTCTGACCATTGATTTTTGCCGCTCACTATTGCAGTTATTAGCCACAGTGAGGCCAGGGCGCTCAGCTCTCCACTTTAATTATTCATCCTTATGAAGAAAAATTTCTCTGGTGTGCTTTATTCTCCTCCTGCCTGCACCTGAGTGCATGTGGACTCCTTCTTCCTCATCTTCCCAAGTGCCTTGTGTGTCGAAGGGCCTTTCACCAGGGTGCTCATTCCGTTTATGCCTTTAATATGCATTTTGTGCTCTGCCAAGGGGGTCAGGAGGGCACGCGGAGAAGCCAGATGGCTTACCTCTTCCCTCAGGAAACACGCCGCTATTTAGCTGGGCACCTTCCCAACTCAAGGCCGGCTGAGATTCCACTGTTTCGGGAAGGGTTGGTTCAAACACCACCGACCGGGAGTACAAATCCAAGTTCCTCGGGCTATGCACTTCTCGACTCCACTGCCACTCTCTGGAGTGCTCTGCCAGAAATGGCATTTTAGGAGCTATTAGAATGGGGGGGGGGGGGGCGGAGATGGGAGAGATGGGGAAAAAGCGACCCCTTTTATTTATTGCCTTTGCTCAGACACACGTTCCCGTTATTTTAATCTGACTGAAATAAGAAACCGTAATCCATGGATGAGAAGACAGTGGACAAACTCAGTTAAACCGTGAGCGCCCTGAGGATGTATGTTTTTCCCCGTTCCCAGTTTTTAATGTTTCTTCCCTGCTGCTGTTTCCCGACTTCAACTTTTGAAAAGCCAAGCAGTTTAACTGGCCAGGCCTGGGGAACTTATTTGTATGCAGCACAAATTTCAGAATCTGTTCTCAGCCTGTGCCGAGTGAAAAATGGCCTGCATTTTCTTGATAGCCCATGTGGTTGTAAAGAATAAATGGCTAATGAATTACAGATGAACATTGACGCAAATTAATCTTCCCGCTGTCCCTGGGTTATATGGCAGCCATTTAAAAGTTTAATCAATACACTAAAGTTGAAAACATGCAGGCACTGCAGTTGTTTGGTTGTAATAAACATCAGAGGGAACCGGGAGGTTTGCACTCAGTCCATGTATCATAATGACAGCTATTTATGTTTAATGGACTAAATATTTTTTATTGGAAGGGAGCAAATGTCAGCTTAACTTTGTGAGCCCCGCATTCAACTTTCCTTTGAGGTTGGTGAAAGACGGCTGACGTGTCATTGGAAATGAAATGTTAAGTTGGGGGTGGGGTGGGGAAGCACGACGGAGACAAAGCGAGGATAAGGAGTCGTTGGGAGACGTGATGCGGGGCTAACATTCTGCAGCAATTCATTAACGAAAACGTAAACTCTGATATTTCTAATGTTGCTGTAAAATGGTTTACGAGGAACAACTCTAATGGTTATTAGGGAAAACAAGTGCCCCGATCTGCCAGATATCCCCTTCAGTACGGGCTTTTGTTTGAAAACTCTTTACCAGGTCATATTTGCTGGAGATGTATAATTAGTCCTTTTTCTTAATGGGAGAAGTGGGGGAGAAATGGCATGATGACTCTCAGCCCTTGTGTTCCATAGATCTTTCCATCTGAATGGTGTCCAACGACTTTAAATAACCATGTGCTCTTTTTGGAATACTTATATCTTAATTACTTTTCAAGTCGATATTTTGTAGCACTGCTGAGTCAGGTAGGACCACATTGGCTAAAAGGGAATGGCCTCTGCCAGGAGTGGTGCCATCTCTCTGGACAGAAACAGGCTGAAATAAAAGGAGAGAAATAGCTTTGTCTGAACAACAACAAAAAAATAGAGACACAGTTCAGCTTTGCATTTTCTTTTTTTGTTTTCCCTTCAAAATAAAACAGAAAAAGTATGCTATCCCTGTGGAACATGGGGTCTTGGAAAATGGCATACACTTGATTAAAATAATTAGAAACGTTTTACACAATGGGAGCGCATGTTTTTAATATACCTTTTGCAACCAGTTGTCTCAGGTTCTCTTCGGTGTCTAAGCCTTCTGAAAAGTCCTCACTTTGTTTTTCCCCCTATTTATTTATTTATTTATTTATTTATTTATTTATTTATTTATTTATTTATTTATTTTTGATGTAGTGTTTTAAATGCCAGAGTGTTGAGGAAAACAGTTTAACACCTATTGAGGTGGGGCTGCAGGATGAGGAAAAGGGGCGAGGGGTAAGATAATTAGCTATCTGATATTTGGACCTGTAAAAATATAGAACAACATCTGCTTATACACTAAATTTGTTTTAAATCACAAGAATTTGTGTTCTAATGGGGCCTGAGATTCAGAAGAAATCACCTTTAGGTTAGTCAACCAAACTGATGGATTCTCTGGTCCTCTGTCCTCTCTTAAGCGAAATGGGGAGACACCTTTTGTTCTGAAATCCAGAGGGTCACCGTCTGCTAACTGTGAAGACGTCCCACCCGTGACTTCTCATGCCACACTCCCCCTGCAGTCCCTGGACCCTTCTTTATTTTTTTTTTCCAAATTCTTCTCACTCTCTTAGGTGATTGCTTGATCGATTTGTCTATTTGTACATTCTGTTTTCCCCATGTTAATATCAGGTCTATGGTAGGGGGCAGGTGGATGGAAAGTAGGGAGGCAGGAAAACAATTTTCTTCTTTGCTCCTAGAATCCCAGGGCCTGGCCCACAGTAGGTTCTTACAAATAGCAGTTAAGTCAATTTCAGACTATTATTTCTGATTGTCTTTAATAATCATCATTATAACCATTTTGGGGGTTCACCTATTATGATTTCTAGACACTGTGATAGTTGTTTTACAGATAATACATGATCTTAGCTCTAACCCAAGATAGTATGAGTTATCTCCATTTTACAGAGGCAAAAACTGAGGTCTCAGGCATTTAAGGTAATTATTCATGGTCACTATTAGTGTAGCAATTCCAGAATTTGAATCTGGCCTGTCTCTCTTCCACTTATACAATACTCCTGTGTTCTGTAGGGCCTTGTGTTCTCACTGGTGATTAAAATGTGGCTAAGTTACCCCAAGTTTTTATTCTAGTCTACAACCAGCCAGCTCTCCAACTGACTGCTAATGGGCAGAAGGATTCATGCTTTCTCACCTGAACCTCACATCCTGAGGCATAACTATGAAGAATGTTGAACCATTAAGTCTAAAAAAGTAGCTGTTGGTCATTTGGTGATGGGCAGTGTGACCCTCAGATACGTGTGTTCCATCATCTGAGGAAATACAAGTGACTCTGGCAAATGGTGAGGAAAGTGCATCAGATAAACGTATGTTCAGCTACAAATGACAGAAACCCAATAAATAGTGACCTAAACATGTGTTTATTTTTCTCACGTAAAAGTAAGGATGGAAGTAGACAATCCAGGACTGTTACAGTGGTTAAAAGAGAGGTCAGTAAGCACCCAGGCTCTTTCTTTCTATTCCACTGTCCTTAGCATGAGGATTTCATCTTCATGTTCTCAGAATGACTGCTATTCCTCTTGGCATCATTTCAGCTCACCGGGCAGGATGAAGAGGGAAGGTCTTTTCCTTGCAAGGCATTCACTTTTTATTTGTAGATGGACAGTTTTCTAAAGACATCTGCCTATTTCTCATTTGCCAGACCATGTCATTGGGAGGCTGGAAAATCAAGTATTTTAGTGTTCATGCTCTTATAGTACAGGAAGATAGGATAAAAGGGAGCCAATGCACAGTGTCTACTATGTAAGAGAAATCTCATTTTTTGTGTTCTTACAGAAAGACTTGAAATTTTGCTAGATGCCACATACACAGCAACTTATACCATCTTTATAAGGACCTTATTACAGAAGAGTGTTTATTCCCATTTCACTAGGAAGGGGTGGAGCTGGAATTTGAAAACCACATTTGTCTGATTCCATTCTGGGCCTTTTCTCTACTGCCATGTTTCTTTAGCTGCCATTTTGATTTCATAGTGAAGGATGGTAGGATTACTCCTAATTGTTCCAGCTTATGATATCTTCTGAACATGTTGTCTTCTGAATTCACTTGACACATTGGGTCTACCTCTTTGATCATTAAGCATGCACTGACATGTGCCATTTTCGAGCCTTTTGTATGCAACAATGGAAAGTTCTGTACAAAGTGGTTAAGAAGGTAGGCTCTGAAGTCTTTCTAGATTCAAATCCTGGCTCCATCAGTTACTACTTGTGTAAGCTCAGACAAATTACATAATCTCTCTGCTTCAGTTTCCTTACCTGTAAAATGAAAATAATAGTAGTGCCTATAGCATGCATATTTTGAAAGGAGTAAGTGCTTAGAACAGTGTCTGGCCCTCAGTAAGTATTGGTTATTCCTATCACCGTTATTATCCACATTTACTCTGTTTCATTTTGTCTACACAAACAGATTGAACTTTGGAAGACCAGGACCATGTTTATTTTCCCCTCTTGATATCCCCAAAAGTTTCCATGCACATTGGAGAATCTGAATAAAAATTCATTCTAGAATTACACTGCGTAGGTTGAAATCCTTGTTCCATTGATTTAACATCTCTCTGTCTCAGCTTCTAAATGCTAAAATGGGGAGGTTAATACTAACTACCTCACAGGGTTATTATGAAGTTTTAATGAAATAATGCACTTAAAGTTTTAGAACAGTGTGTAATAAATAGAAAAAGTTTGGTGTTACATGTAACTATTATAGTCCTCCGTGGGATCATCAGTATTCAAACACTAAAACTCCATGGTATATAATCTAATTGGTAATAATTCCAAAAGCAATTTTTCTCAGGCCATCTCAGATACAAGGTTATTAAAAATAACCACATCTTTTGGTGAAGCCATATTGAGTTTATCCTGTGATCCAGGATGTACGGTAGATGTTGGAGACACAAAGGTGCATAAAACACTGTAGGAAACACAAGTGGTGGTGGGCATGAAGAGTGTTCACTCTCAGTAATAATCAAGTGCTCAAAAAGTAAAACAATCCTAGAACATAATTTCTTCACTAGCTAGGATGATCACATAACCATGCTTGGTACTATTGAGTGGATTGGATGTATACTGATCTGTTTTAGAAAAGCATTTTGGCCCTGTGCATTGAGGCTAGAAAATATTTAAATCCTTTGACCTAATAATGATACACTTAGGAATCTGTCCAAAGGAAAGAATCTGAAATGCATAAACAAAGTAACTTTATACATTCACATGATCACCGTAGTAATGTTTATGACATCAAAATACAGAAAATAGTCAATATCCAACTAGGTAGGAATGCAAAATAAATTATAGCAAATTCACAGAATTTGCAATATTATGTAGAATTTAAAAGATGTTTAAGATAATTTTTAATATGGCAGGCAAATATTTCTGCAATAAAACAAATGAAGAAAGATATATATGAGCTCATCCATGCTTATGATATAGGAATAGAAAAATGACTGGAAGGCAAAACATCAAAATGTCAACTGCATTTAGCCCTGGGCAGTGAAATTATGCATGATTATTTTTCTTCGCACTTTATTTTTTTTACAGTGAGGATGTAGATATAAGAAATACCTTAAAAACTAACCTCAAACAATAATATAGTGTTTAGGCAAATAGTTCTAGAAGGAAAAGTAGTGATAGTACAGAAAAGGGTTTGCATAAGTTAGGAATTGTGTTCAGCTGCAACTAACAAACATCCCAAATAGCAATGACTTTAACAAGATTCTTTCATATAACATGAACCCTAGATATAGGCAGTCTATAGCAGGTGTGACTCCATTGGGAGCCCAAGATTCTTTTATTTTTGTTCTAACTTCCAAAAGACCAGCTTCCATCTTCAAGTTTGATTTATAGTCACAATATTGTTGCTGTAGCACCAGCCCTTATTTCCATGTTTCAACTAGCAGGAAGAAAGAAAAGCCAAGGTTATAATGATATTCCCTCAAGCAAAGAGATTATATTTTAACAAGTTGTCCCAGGAGCCCTTCATAACATCCCCTTTTATTTTATGGCCACCATCAATGAGCACACTGCCATGCTCAATAGCTTAGCGTGTCTGTGTGTAAGATAAAAGGGGAATATGGATACTGGCATTCAACCTTGCTTCCCGATTTTAATTCCAATTCTGCCACTCAATAGCAGGTTGATTTTAATGAAGTCTAGCACATTAGTGGCACCAAGGAAGCCTCAGAAACCTAATTCTATTCTAGCCCTTCCTTGATTTTCTCTTGCAGGGAGACTACATCCCATTTGAACAGGTATTTTTAGTAGCATGCCAAGTGTTTGGGAGGCTTTGTCACCTCACATGGAAAACAGGGCACTCATTTCTGAGACTACCCCTGGTATAGTAGTTTGGGGATGAGAAGAGATGAGAAGACTTGATCCAATAGGTTTGACTTTGTTGGTTGGATTTTCATTAGTTTTGAAAAAGAAGGTCTTTGAAGCCAAGCATAAGGGCTGACTGGCAAAGAGAGGTAAATAGATAGTTTCCAGGAAGATCAGGAGCATCTACCACCTGCCTTCCTTTGAGCTCTTCTCTTGGCCCACTAATAGGAGAGGTGCATGGAGGAGGTCTATATGTGTCAATTGACAGGCTCCCCAAAAGAGAAGACAAGGACTGGGCCATTTAAAGCTCCCAAGAGACTCATTTCCAACTTGAATACAGGAAAAATGTCAGAGCAACTGAATTTTGTTTTTTTTTTTTAATTTTTTTATTGTTATGTTAATCCCCATACATTACATCATTAGTTTTAGATGTAGTGTTCCATGATTCATTGTTTGTGCATAGCACCCAGTGCTCCATGCAGAACACGCCCTCCTCAATACCCACCACCAGGCTAACCCATCCTCCCACCCCCCTCCCCTCTAGAACCCTGTTTGGTTTTGAGTCCATCATCTCTCATGGTTCGTCTACCCCTCCGATTTCCCCCCCTTCTGAATTTTGTTCTTTTTAGGACTGTTCTTTCTTGCAGTGGATCAGAACCATCAAGTCAAATCATATATTGTGATAGATTTAAGCATTGAGGGATGCTGGGGGAGAGAGAGAGAGAGAATGAGCACTATGGGCATGGATTTTCATGAACTGCATTGTAAACTAACTTAGTGGGCTCCAAGGAGAACACAAACATGACACCAAGGACTCATAGACTTGAATTTTGTTTATATCCATTTTATAGGCAATTTGTAGAAGAAAGAAAGGGCAAAAATAATACTAGTCATCTCATTGGGTTGTTTAGAGGATCAAGTGATCAGACAATCATGTGAAATGTACATCAGAGTGCCTACACCCAGAAGCTCAATAAACTCAGCTATGATGATGATAGTGGAGGATGAGGAGGAAAAAAGAGAAGGAGGGGGGCAAGAAATCTGCTGATGTGTTGCTCCATAAAATGTCTTTCCGTTGAAAATTTGCATTAACAAGGAGGAAGCTTTATATTTATAACTGGAAAATTAATTTTGAAAATTTTGTCATGAGATGAAACCCAAAACTTTTTGATAAAGCCTGGAGTCACAGAAATACTGCTCATTTGCATTCTTCTTTGGTTCATCATTCCCTAAAATGATCTTTGTGATAATGGAAGAAGCACTGAATCAGAAGAACTGAAAGCCAACCATAGCTTCTTCCTATAATAATTTTATCTTTTTGAATGCATTTTATTAATCTTTCTAAATCTTATTTGCTTCATCTGTGGACTGGGGGTAATATAACCTATCTGTTAATGCTAGGGATTAAATGAATGATGAATTTAAAGCACCCAGTACAGTGTCTTGCACATAGAATGAATGAGTATCTGATGCTGTGAAGGGCTATGGATGTGCCATGTTTCTGGGGGACAATCTGCCTCCATCTCCAGGGACATGCCTGATGCAGAAGATAATTCTACCAAAAGAAAACTCAAAACAGAGAACTTTTATTATGTTAATGGTTAGATGGCCTAAGGACTTATTATGTTCAGGGGCAGAAATTTTGTTATGTCTTTTCCTGTTAATGTTAGAAAGAAAATCCTTACCCCATTAGAGTCACTCATTGTAGTGTTGCTCAACATGTCCCAAGCCCTTCCTGCCCTTGAGAATCTTCCCAGCCTCTATGCTGTAGCTGTCAGGGACTGTAACTGCCTTTAACGTCCAAGAGTGATTGGTAGATATCATGCTGCATGGTCCCTAGAATACATGGGCATAGGTCATTTCAGATGGGAAGATGAGACATGTGAATTGAATTGCAGAAGTGAGAGTGGATATCCCATCTTGTTCCTAATGGAGGGAAAGCACTCAGTCTTACCATTTTCAGTATGATGTTAGCTGTGGTTTCTGTAGGTGACCTTTATAAGATTGAGGAACTCCCCTTTTATTCTTGTGTTTTTGAAAGGTCTTATCATGAAGGAATTTTGAATTTTGTCATTTTTTTCTGCATCAGGTGAGATGATTATATTTTTCTCAATCTGTTGATGTGGTATATTAAATTTATTTTTAAATATTGAACCAACCTTGCATTTCTAGGATAAACCCTACTCAGTCATGATGTACTATACTTGTTATGTACTGCTGGATCCAATCTTCTAATACTTTATTACAGATTTTTGCTTGCATGTACACGAGGAATATTGTTCTGTGGTTTTCTTTCCTTATAATATAGTTACCTAGTTTTGGTATCAGTATAATGCTGGAAGCAATAAAATAAATTGGAAAGTGTTCCCACCTTCTCAATATTTTGGAAAAGTTTGTGGAGAATTGATATTATTCTTTGGTAAATCCTTGGTTGAATTTGCCATTAAAGCCATTTGCACTTGGAGTTATCTTCATAGGTTGATATTAAACTATAAATTTGATTTCTTTAAGAGACATGTGGTTCTTTGGGTTTTTCATTTCTTCTTTAGTGCCTCAGCTTTTTTATAGAAGACAAGTTGCACGCCCATTAAGCCTCTACTTTTAATAATTGTGGCTATCAGATAATCATTGTGTTATTTACGGCTTAATTACGAATTCTGCTCATGATCTCCTAGGCCTTCTGTTTGGTAAACAGAGAAAGTCTGGCTCACTTGCTCAATGCATTCATACATGCATTCACTCATTTAGCAAACATTTTAACTACATTTTAAATTCCAAGACCCATGGTAGAGAATCCATAGATTCAAAGATGAATAAAGCAGTGTCCCTGAGTTCAAGTAAATTACATTTAAGTGGGAATAATAATGACCTGATGGGCTATGATACAGTGGGGTGTGTGTAATCATTGTGTAATGAATGGTGCACAGGGAGAACAAACAAGGAGCCACTAATTCTGCCTAAGGGAAATCAGTGGAGGCTTCCAAGAAGAAATGCCATTTGAACTTGGTCTTGAAAGATAAGAAGAATTTTATGTGGCAGAATGGAGTCCTACACGTGAAATGCCATGGGATGTTTGGGGAAAAGTCATCTCAGATTTTCTGAGGGTAGGAACATTTATTAACAGAAATTAATTGTTTGGATCAGGGCAGTGAAAATCTGAATGGTCAATGAAAAAAGTTAAATTGCTTTAATTATCGCAATTCTTCTATTTAGGTGTTCTTAAAATACAGCTGGTATGCCTGATCTAATATCACTGCAGAGTGGACTTCAGTTGAATTGTTGCTCCATGATGACTCTCAGATCTTTAGATCCTATTTTTATTTAAATTCTTATTTTCATGGTTGTAATAGTAAATACACATTTTCTTCAAGGAAGATGTGGTCATTGAAATAGATCTTAATTTGAGTGCTGACATTTCAGTAATGAAAGAAGAAAAACAAGATCCTGTGTAGATAGAAGGGGAGAGGGAGGGAGAGGTGAAGGGGACAAAGGAGGGAGGGAATACAAATACCTGTAAAGTGTGGACGTTGTAGAATTTCTCCCAAAGTCAGTTGATTGCGACTGTTCACAATTTTACCTTCAGTACATTGATCATGTCAGGTCAACTTAAGCTGCTCTATCCAAATTCAGCTGGATTCATTGGCCTTTGAATATATCATGAAAAACAATTTCTTTGTATAAATTTGATGAGGAACACCTCTTCCTCACTGAGGTTAACTGCATCTAGATTGCCATACAAGACCCAAGTTCACATGTGTTATTGCAGTTAATGTTGGTTGTGTTGCCTTTATAGAACCATGTTGGCCTCTGGGAACACCTCACTGTCACCCAGGAGCTTGCAAATTCATTGCTTTAATTAATTAATGGAGGCTCTTTGGAAGTTAGGGTCCCTTGTTTTTAATTTTCAGCTAAAGGCACCTACAGATTTCCATTTAAAAAATAGATGCTGTCTACTTGATTTGCTTATTACTCTTTGCTACTAAAATATAGCTATAATGGCTCTGTGGAATTGTCAGTTATTTAAGTATTCATGGGTATTTAGGTAAAGCCTGGATGGTTTGGAATTATTCTGACATAACTAAATGTGTCATAAAAATATTTGCTCCAAGAGTATGCTATAAATGCATATGCCCAGTTCAGGGAACAAAATATAACTTTAGGTTTTAAAACAAATTATTAGTATATATTTATTGCCCACTCCATGCTGAGCACAGAGCTAGGCACCCAAGAGACTGTAGTAAACAGATCAGACTTTCTGCTCTCATGGGGCTTGGGTTAGTGGATGTTCGTTCATTCATTAACCTATGAATACATCCTGAAATGCCTTTTATGCGCCAGGCACTGTGATAGTACTGTGCTTTGCTATACAGGTGAAACATCAGTATGGTATTGTGCCTGGTACTTAGCCCAGAACAAGTATTTAACTGACTGTAAAATTACCCTTTCTCTTCTCTTTACCATATTACAATATTCCACATTAAGTAAGAATGTGTAAGGAAAAAACACATTTTGGTCATAATAGCAGAGATCGCTTTTTCTCAATAAAATACACATTTTCTTCCCCTTTTGGGACCACAAAGGTGGACTTCAACTCCATCTCCCTTGAAGTTAGATGTGGTTAGATGAATGTGGTTTAGCTGAAGAGATGTTAATGGAAGAGATGTGTCTCATTCCACAACCAAGCCTTTTGAGGAGTGGCTCTGCCTCCTTCACTTTTCCCGATGGCAGGACTTACAGGAGATGGCAGAACCACAGCAATCACATAGAGGAGGCTCCCTGCATTGGACATTTGGGTAAGGGAGACATAGACTTCCGTTGTGTTAGGTCACTGAAATTATGGAGCTTGTTTGTTATAGCAGCTTGCATAATCCTCACTAATATAGTAGTGGGACAGTTATAAGATGCCTCGTTATTATAAGAATTACGACAATCATCACAAGATATGCTATCATTTGGCAATGACAATAAATGCTATTCAGTAGGTGGAGTTCCTTATAGTCAGGTGATGAGGGAGTACATAGGCAAGGATTATTACTCCTATTTTAGACATGAAAATCAAGGCTCAAATAATTCACGTGACCTGCCAAAATTCACAAGCCTGGAATATAGAACAATTAGTACTAGCACCAAGGTATCCTATTTCTTAGTTCAAACTTCTTACTCTTTACCACCTTCATTATATTTATATCTGAAAGTATTAGTTGGCCTTAAATTTTGTCTACTTATTGCCTTCCTTCCCCCACTGGGTTGTAGTGTCCATGAGCTGAGACCTTCTCCCCTTACCATATCATCATCTGTAAGAGCACTGACAGGCACATAGTAGGACCTCAGGAAATAGCTATGTAATGAAAGAAGGCATGACTAATAACTGAGTAAATAAGTACTTTGCTAGTCAGGCATGTTGTGATGCAAATTAAACATGACCTTATACATTTTTGTGAAGGAAAGATAGAAGGAAGGAATGAAAGGATGGAGTGTAGGGGCACCTGGGTGGCTCAGTCAGTTAAGTGTCTGCCTTTGGCTCAGGTCATGATCTCAGGGTCCCAGAACTGAGTCCCGTGTCGGGCTCTCTGCTCAGCTGGGAGTCTCCTTTCTCCCTCTCCCGCTGCCCCTCGCCACCTCCACTTGTGCGTGTGCATGCTCTCTCTCTAATAAATAAATAAAATCTTAAAAATAAAAGATGGATTGTATATATGGATTGTGTGTGTCCGTGTCCATGTGTGTGTGTCCGTGTGTGTGTGTGTGTGTGTGTGTGTGTTTAGAAAGAGGAAGGCACAGAGTGATGGGATTGCAGTAGCAGGGACTGATAATTTTTCACTCTCAATTATTCTGTTTTGAATAGCAAAGTGCTGTTTGTGGAAAACATTTTGACCTGAAAGGATCTCAATCAGTGCTAACCAAAAGGCTTAAATAGGTCACCTGATGGAATCCAGAGAAGAGAAGGCAAAGAAAGTTAACACAGATTTGGAGATTATTCTCGGGGTCATTACCGTACACTTACAAAGATCATATGCCAAGATAAACAAGCAATCTCCTCCAAAATTATTACTGTGAAAATTTTCAGGCCTATAGGAAAGTCAAAAGAATAGTACATTGAACACACATATATTCTTTACCTAAATTCACTGTTAATATTTTGCCACATTTGCTCTCTCTCTCTGTATGTCTATGAGTCTGCATGTGTCTACACACATTTTTTATGAGACATTTAAATAAATTGCAGACACCATCACACTTCAGCCCTAAATAGTTCGGCATGAATATCCTAAGATAAGGACTGTTTCTTACAAAACAACAAAATACTAAGAATATTAACATTAATTCGGGGTGCCTGGGTGGCTCAGTTGGTCAAGCAGCTTCCTTCAGCTCTCAGGTCATGATCCCAGGGTCCTGGGATCAAGCCTGGTGTCAGGCTTCCCGCTCCGTGGGGAGCCTGCTTCTCCCTCTCTCTCTGCTGCTCCCCCTGTTTGCGCTAGCTCTCTATCAAATAAATACATAAAATCTTAAAAAAAAAATGACTCAAACCATTGTCTACTATACAGTCCATAGTTAAATTTCCTCAATCTTTCCAATGATGTCTCTTATAACTTTCATTTTAATCTAATATCCAACCAAAGTTTGCATTTGGTTGTCAAGGCTTTTATTTCTTTTTTAATCCAGTGCAGGAGTTCTCAAGGATGACCCCCCTGACCAGCAGCATCAGGATCACTAGAGAAATTGTCAGAACTTGCAATGCTGGAGCCCCACTCCAGACCCACTAAAAGAGAAACTCTGGGGGCTGACCCAGTAATCTTTGTTGTTAACAAGTGCTCCAGGTGATTCTCATATATGCTGGGGCACACCTCCCAACTTTCCTGCTTTTCATGACATTTAGGTTTCTGGTTTTTTGTTTTTTTCAAAAGCCCAAGTCAGTGTCATTGTAGAATTTCCCATATTCCAGATTTTTCTGGTTGCTCACTCATAAATTGATTCAGGTTTAACATTTTGCCAAATGTTGGTGATATTGGGTCTATTTCATCATGTTGAGAGGCACATCATATTTAATGATCCCTTTCGTAGTAATGCTGGTTGATCATTTGGTTAATGTGGTTACTGCCATATTGATCCACTCTAAAGGTATATGTTCCCCTTTATAATTAATAAGTAACCTAAACAGTGGCAATCTAAGGCTGTGTGAATATTTTCTTCTCCAATAAACTTTCACCCAATACTTGTAGCATCTGTTGATAATACTTGCTGGAATTACTACATTAGAATATGGTGATTTTTCCAATTTTGGAAATTAATTAGCAGGCATTCATTAAATAAGGGCTTTTTCTCTTATATTTATTTATGTACTGAAGTATCATTATTAACTCATAGCTTTCTTCTCAATTCAATGTGTCAAATTAATTACTCTCATAATTCATTTTGATATCAAATAGTGCCAAATTTGGCTAGAGAGAGGATCTTCAAGCCACCTTCTGCGTTCATGACCTGCTTTCCGGCACAAGATGTTTCAGACACTTTGTATATTTCCTGCCCACATCCTGGTTATTTTAGATGGCAGTATTTTGGGGGGAATCAGTTTCTAGGTGCCAGTTGTCTGACACACATTCATACATATGTGAGTTTTAATCATTTCTTATATTCCCTCCAATTTAGATTTGCAGTTTTCATTACCATCATCGTCACCATCATCACTTTCCGTATTTAGTTTTCTAGGGCTGCCATAACAAATTACTCAGACTGAATGGCTGAAATAACACCAATTCATTATCCTTTAGTTCTGTGGGTCAGAAGTCTAACATGGCTCTTCAATGAGCTAAAATCAAGGTGTTGGTAGGATTGTGTTCCTTTCTGGAGACTCACAGGGAAGCATCCATTTCCTTGCCTTCTCCAGCTCTGGAGGCACCCCCACCCCCATTCCTTGGCTCCAGGTCCCTTCTCCCACCTTCACAGTGGGGACGTTTCATCTCTCTGATCCTTGTCACATCTCCCATTGTGACCACAGTCTTTAGAGCTTCTTGCCTTTTTAAGGACTTGTGGGATTAGGTAGAGCCCAGACAGTTCAGAATAATGTCTCCAACCTAAAGTCCATACCCTTTATCACTTCAGCAAAGTTCCTTTTATCAAGTGAAATATTATAGTACAGTTTCCAGAAGTCAGAGTATGGATGGACATCTTGGGGACCATTATTCTGCCTACCACATCTTCCCTCATTCTTTGTTTTCCCTTCTCTCACAGTGAACTACTAACTCCCAATACTTCAGTGTATGTACATGTTTTCTTTACCCTACAATACACACAAAATAATATGAGAATTATAATGGCAGTAAAACTAACATCAATAAGCTTACTAAGTAAAGCTCAAGATTTCTTTGCTTGTATTTTTTTTCCTCAGAATATATCTCACTCAGGTGTGCAGTTGAAGTATGGTGTTCCAAAATTACTTGATTTTCTGTTCTTGTGTCATTATGTTATTGATTTGATATGCAGTTAGGTTCATTTTTTTCTCCAGGTGTATTCGGTTTTAGGGTTTGCTTTTTCCATCCTTTTGTATTCACTTTTGAATATGTGAAATATATGAATATAAAGAGATATATTCAGAGAAGTCTGAGCTCCATCCCGATGCCCGCCACCCTATTTTCACTTACCCACTACACGTAGTCATTCTTACTAGTCTATGGTTTATCCCTCCCATATTTCTTTTTGTAAAACATAGATGAAGAGGTGTGTTTATTTTTTTAATCTTATTTTTACTTCTTTCTTACCCAAAAGTAACTGAGTTTATGTACTTTTTTGTTCCTTGCATTTTTACTTAGTACTATGTCCTGCATCTACATCCATATCTCTCCATATCTATGTAATATATGTATGCAGTATATATACACACACACACCTGTATCAACATTTTTATCTCTATATATCTGTATGCCTATGTCTACATCTATACTCTGTCTATAGCTGGATCTCTGTATATCTATATACCTACATTTATACCTATATTTCTATCATCTCTATATATCTATACGTACATTTACATCTCTCCAGCAGTATATCCTGGGATTCACTGTATATCAGGTGATCATGGAAATCGTGAGAGGAGTAATACGTTTTTAAATATGCCTTCTGTATTGTCTAACTTATTAACAACAAATATTATATCTGTGGCTTAAGTAAAAAGGGAAATACATATAGAGAAAATGGCTTTTTTATGCTTTCTGCTACCCCATCACTCCGCAAGGTAGAGCTAATCTTTTTTCTATGTTTGCATAACATTTTGTACATAATATTATTATAGCAAATTTTATTGCAGTTATTTTTATTTGACAAGTCATCTGCCTTACTGGCCTGTCAGTTCCGCAAATGTAAAAAGAGTCTCTCCCTTTCTTTTCTTCTTAATTTTGGGTATCATGGATTGTTCCTGGCACATAGTGTTTCCCCACTTACTTGTTTTGCCTGAAATTTCATTAAAGGTTCATTCAGTTCATCTAGTTTTTAATGTGTCTGTTTTTAAAATTAAAATATTTTATCGAAGTTATGAAACTCTGTTAATAGCCTCATGTGAATTAGTGATCAGAAAACTAGTTGATTCTTAGAAAAGGTGTGGAGGGACATGCATCTGAAAGAAGACAGTTATATATATATTTAAAGATTTTATTTATTTATTTGACAGAGAGAAAGAGAGAGCACAAGCAAGGGGAGTGGCAGGCAGAGGGAGAAGCAGACTCTCACTGGGCAGGGAGCCCGATGCGAGACTCGATCCCAGGACCTGAGATCATGACCTGAGCCGAAGGCAGATGCTTAACTGACTGAGCCACCCAGGTGTGCCAGGACAGTTATATTTTAACTCTAGAGTTGAAACCCCAAGAAAGGGGAGAGGGAGTATGAGGGTCATAGATATTCTAGGAGGAAAGGGGACAAACCAAGGAAAGGAAGAGAGGGACATGGAAAGAGAAAGATCTCTATCTTTGTGTCAACCATATGAGCTATGCACAGCATAGAAAATATACTTAGATGATAATAGCGATTATATTATTAGAACAGACGTAAGAAGTGTTTTCTCCAGACACTAAGAAACCAAGGTCCGGAACAATTGAACAAGTTGCACAGGACACATACTATAGACCTGGAGCTAGAACCTGATCTTTGGACTCCTCCACATTTCCCAGAGTTGATATGACCTTTCTTGTGCTTCTAAAAGGGGCACATCTGAAATCAGCCACACTGCCCTGAGGATGGAGAGGGCCCAAGCCTTCTCTCCTTTTAGAGCTCTTTGAAGTTGGGCTACTAACCTCAGGACTGAAACACATCTCTGTCTTTCTTGACCTCCTTCAGTGAAGTCAGCTATATTTGTGGAGGTGCATTGTTCAGCCTCAGAGCATCGTTTAAATTTAAAATCAATAAAGAAAAGTGAACCAGTAAGAGGCACAGACTGATTAAGTGCTGTCTGTATGAAGAGGTTTATCCTCTGCCACATTTCTGTTGAAATCCTAAGAAATGTGAAGAGGATGGAGCAAAGTGAAAACAGATTAAAAATTATGTCAGATACCAAAATGCAGTAAGGCAACTGCTTCTTTGGCAGGCAATTGAGAATTGGCAACTTTGAGCTCTGATCCAGCGTAATGATGTCAACATATTCACACCCACATACACACCATGTGCGCATATAACACAGTCATACTCGAGATGCACACAGACAAAAGTAAGACATACAACATATATAACATGATTTACTACAAGACCCACAGCACGCATAAAACAGTGCACACACAGGCACCCATGTGTAACACATACACACAAAACACAACACACACTTGTGCAGGCACATACATACACACTCATGAATTTGTTCTTGACTGGTAGTATGAAGATGTAACTCTTCCATCTGCCAACTTATCCCACATTTTTTTTTTTGATGAAAAAATAGCAGTAGAGAGGAGAAAATCTCATCATCAGAAAATTCAGTGGAAAAAAAAATTCCCAAGACATTGTCATGTATTACTGGTTATTTCTGGTGGTTAAGAGAATTATTTGAAAACAAAGAAGCCTTTCACAAAGCCTCTAAAATACAAAAGATTTAATAACATTTACATCTGTGTATCAGCCATGTCTGTAATGCAAGTCATGAATAACACATAAACCAGAGCACGGAAAGAACAGAAGTGCTCACACATCATTTAAAATCCAACCCACCCCATCGTCAGTGGAATCAAATACACAGCAGGAGCAGTTCCAGTTGATACACACACAATATAGTCATTGAAAATGAAAACATATTAATTATGTTCCGTAAGGTTAGAGAAATGGCAGGATTCACTAACCTGTTCGATTTCTCTGTTGAAATTCTGTACCAAAAAGTACATCACGATTTGCTTTCTTATTTTTCTTAAGAAATTACAGAGCAAGCGCTTGTATGCATTTGTCTTGTTTTACTGTTCATGTACATCTGCACTTGGGGCTCAGTCCTGCTTCCTTGCTGTGCTGAAAATGGGGAAAGTTGGCTTAAGAAGATGGGTCCTTGTTGCAAGTGAGTGACTTGCAATAAAGGAATTCATTGTTGAGCAATGATATTTTCAAGCGCCGATATGTGCCCAACTCCCAAGTGGCATATGTGGAAATCCACACCGCTAGGAGAATAGTTGTATGTTACCAAAACCTAGAGCTCACGTAGCAACACGTTTGATCAAGAAACACAGCGAAATCCTTCCTTGTTCTGATTCAAATAACTCTCTGAGGCCCAAATTTGGAATTGTGCTTTTCTGGATCAGTTCGTTTGGCTCCTATGAATTTCCAGGGATCTCCTAGGCTCTCCATATATGCTGTGAGATCCTCCCACTCTGCCATAGGGAAGCCTCTGGTGCCATGATGGAGAAGGATGAGTGCAGGGAGGTGATTTTTGTGCGGGCATTTGCATTTGACATCTGTTCATAGTGATCCTTTAAGTGTTGCTGTGTTTTATTTCCAGGAGTTAAGAGGATATTCAAATAATGTCCGTATTTGATCAGCACTTTTTGTTTGCTGACTTTTGCTTTGATGTTTGTTTGTTTGTTTGTTTAACCTTCCTTCTTCTGGTCATTGTTTCCCCTTCTGTCTTGTTGGAGCCAGACCATTGCATGTGGGTCCTGAACAGTTTAATATGAGCTCTGTAAATGTCAGGGAACCCCTTCCTCTTTTTCTACTATGTATCCTATTTCACTGAGAAATTTCAAGCCCTTCGCAGTCCTCATTGCAGCAAAAGGTTAATAGTCGTCTCTTTTATGTACTATAAGTGCTCGATTCTTAAGGACAGCGTTTCAGGGCAAGCTGAGTGTAATTGCTAAATAATATAGTCATTCTCATTTTAAATGAGTGATACTTCTGGTGTTCCGGATGCTTCTACCTGCGTGTGTGTACGTGTGTGCATGCGTGCACCTGTGGCAGGCATGGGTGAGACCTCCACTTGGGGGAAGTCACAGCCTTCCCATAGGAGTCTGCACATTCACGCATTTGGGTTTTAAATGTTGTGCCGCATCCCGGGCCTCTTAGGCTCTGCAGATTATGTATAATAGATGACCTGCATTTACAGAGATGTGTGCTATACAGATGTAAATGTTATTATAGCTTTTATATTTTATGTTCTTGTTGAAAGATCATTTTGTCTTTGAATAATATGGCTGTTCAATTTTTTTGGAGGGGAGGGGGTTATCTTTAAAAGAATATGAAATGGATATTGTACATCATATATTTCTTAAAAGTAATTTGGAATTTTAGGGTCTGGGATTGGGGCTGACTGATACACTGCCACGATGAGATATAACCCCTGGAAAATAACAGCACCCGCACATGCCTGCATCTGTCCAACCTCATAATTCACTTTCACATTGGATTATGGATGTCTGCGTTCAGTGAGTCTATCTTCCCTTTAGGTATTATTTCAGCCCTTTGAGATAATAAGGAAAGTTTAATTGCGTTGTTAATTGATTTTTTGCACAACATTATTACCTTGATTGATTACAGAGTTGATGAAAATGTTAGACAGAGGCAGCATGGAGTATCAGCCCAGCGAGGAGTGGGAGCCTTGTGCAGAATAGATAACCTTGATGTTAAGAGCTATATCCTTCAGATATGTCTTCCCTTGACATATTGATGGCCCTTGAAAAGGGAAAAGCTGATTGTATGCAGAATGCAATCATTAAACCCACTTCAGCTCGCTGTTGATTAATTTGTTTTTTCCTGAAGGATCTAGTTAGAGGGAAGGCCTCACTTGTGCGAACAGCAGCCATTTCGTAGGCTCCATCCAGCTTGTACTTAACCCTCTAGGTGAAGAGAAACACTGAGAGGCTGGTGTGGCTGAGACAGGAAGACCGTCTTAGGGTGTCCTGAGTGCGCACCTGCTATTCACAGATGTCCTCATGCTCAGCAGCATCCTCTCTCCTCCACCAAAGTGTTATTTCCCCCCAAATACCGACTCTTTGAAAATTCCAAGACCAGGGATCCTTTCACTGACACATGGCGTAGGATGCGATGGAAACTTGTGGATGCCCAGGAAGATTTGTTAACTAGGCTTCTAGTCATTTCTGGAGAAGACCTGGCACTCAGAAGTTTTAGGATACCCCTGAGTATAACCGAGGTAAAACCTGGCATAAACATGCTCCCATAATTGGAGAATTGGGTTCTTGTTGGGGTGTGTGTGAAGTGTGGGGGTGGAGGAGGGATTTGTATGTAGCACGATAAGAAGGAATTTCTGGAGATGGTTTATTGTATTTTCAATTACTCCTTTCCCTGGCCCTCTGTAACTCTTTCTAAGAGATATTTATTGATAGCTGTCATGGTTACTACAGTCCAGAACCGTCCTCATGGTACCAAAAACCAGGTTAATTGATCTGCTGTTTGATTGATCCACTGGACTTCTGTCCTGTTTCCCTCTACCAAACCCACACCACTTCATCCCTAGCTGCCCAACCCTGGACAGAGACTAAGAGGGTCAGTCTTCCAGGATAAAGGGACTGGCCTTACTCCCTACAGAAGAATGGAAGCCCATATAGGTGCAGTAATTCTAGAGAGGGTCCATTTTCTGGGGAAAACAGGTGGCTTCCCTCTTCCTCTCTCTCTCTACTCCAGCTTCTACCCATATTATTCTGGAGCATTCTGACTTCTTTTGCCTTCTTCTTCCCTTTGTGGCTATCCTCAATATTCACTTAAACCAAATTTTAATTATATAGCATTATTGGAGGCCTACCAAGAATTACGTCAGCATCCTGGAGTCCTGACACCCCCCCTACCCACCCCCAGAGGTCGTGTGGACTTTGGGGCAAAAGAGAAACAGCTCTCAGAGCTCCCAGAGCCACAGAGCACCCTGTAGAAGGAATTCACGCTATGGTCCAAAACAGTTTCTCCTCAGTCGGCCCCACCGCCCCCTCCGTTCAGAGTCTTTCTTCTGCTGAACTAATGACTGGCGCTCGGGGAGTCTAATATCCACAGAGTCTTGGCCCTCAATTACCGTAATGGCTTATAATGAGATTTTGGCCAAGTAGCAGGTAGCAGGTTATTACTTCCTGCTCAGCGTGGGCAATGTCTACGCTGTTAATTTGTGTTGCCGAATGTGGCTCAGAGCTGGGCATCAAACTGTCAGAGCCAGATGTATTCTATTAGGTGCGAGGCTCACATTGGCCCATGGGCAATTTTTTTTCAATATGGAGGCATGTTAACTCACCACAGGGTGAATCCTGACGAATTCAAGCCAGCCAAATAAAAGGGGTAATATCCCAAGCCATCAAAGTAGTATGTTCCAGAGACAGATAATACCTGGTACCACCCATTGTCAGCAATGTCTCTCCAACCAGGCCATTCCACTGATAGGTAAAAAGTGCACCCCTCTTAATATTGTTGGAGAGACTCTGGTGCCTTCATTAAGTTTTAATGAGCCTGCCCCTAATGAAGGCCCTTATAATATGTTCTTCTACTGTTTACTTTGTCTTTATCTTGGGTAAAAAAAAATGTAGAAGAGGTTCATATGGCTCTTATAAACTGCTTTCTACTATTAATTCTTACTTAACCTATAGTTTCTTTCATTAGCATTAGCATATATATGGACTTTTTATTTTTCCAAGGCAGGTTAAAGGATGGGAAGTCAAAGATCAGGAAATAATGAAAATATTTTGGCATTTGGCATTGAGATTTGCTAGTGCCCAAGAATTATGCTGTGCTTTCTGCAACAACATATTTTTTTTTTTATATAATGCAAACTTCTTTCAGTTAGCTCATATATCAGCAGATTCCTTTTGTTTTCCTTTTGGAGAAAGCAATTTAGAGTGTCCTGGAATTAGGAAAGATTATAGTAATATCAGTACAGGAAAAGTTTGTTTGGATTCTAATGAAGGGCAGATGGAGGCTGGACTAACGCGCCCAAGAAGGAAGGTCTTTCCCCCAATCCTTGCAGAGTTTAAATTATGACAAACCTAGTTGTTATTGGCTCTGCTTAATTTTAGTTGAGAGGTTCTTTTTTTTTTTTTGCAGCTTGAAGAATAAAAAAAACAAAAAAGCAACTTGTCTTTATTTTCAATGACTCTCTTGAGAAATTTTAGCTTGAAGAACTAGACAGAACTATGGATGTTTTCCCCCCTTTTGATGTAAGCTTTCTAATAGGAGCAGATCTGAAACCCAAAAGCAAATTTGTGCTTGAGAGCAAAGCCAGAATTCCCATTCAAACTCTGCAGGAGGACCCCCACTGCTCTGATTTGTTCATTTAAGAATCTATCCTTTTAGAGAAAAGCTAAAGACTTTCTGGGAAATTTTTTCTGCAAGTTTTTTTTTTTCCTATACTTCATAAATTATGGTTTCCAGGTTCAGTTCCACTCTACTTATCCAAACAACTCTTTTCTTCTTTTCTTCTGTTAATACAGTCTACACATCACTTAAATTTAGACTTTTATGGTTTTTTTTTCTTATTAAAGAGCTGGCACGATTATTATAATTATAATAATAATTATTATTATTAATTTTAGGTGCCATTGGTTTTCAGAATGTTGTTTGGAGACAGTAACTCATTTACTAAAACTCAATACACTAGGACCCTCAGTTAACTAGCTTTTCTGTCTCTGAATTTGTGTGATCTTAATTTTATAAGAATAAAAGCTAATGTCAAGGGTTTTATTTTTTAAAAAGGAGTCCCTTGGGTTTTCCTAGAACAGTGTTTCTTAAAGTGGGGTCCCCTAATCAGCAGCATCACTCTCACCTGGGAACTAGCAAAAATGCAAATTCTTGGCCCTATCTCAGACCCACTAATCAGAAACTCTGGGGATGGGGCTCAGCAGTCTGTTTTATCAAGCCTTCCAGGTGATTCTGGTGCAAGGGAAAGTTGCATCCTAGGATTCTTTCATTTATTCCACACACAAAAAATAATCTACTGAGTACCTACATGCCCTGAGCCTCATGAAGCAAGGATGAAAAGTTGTCATCTCTACCCTTTTGGAGCTCATACATAAAGGAGATCCTAAGACCTTGAGAAATGTTCAATGAACAGTCTT